CATTTGGCGCCTTGTTTGGAGTCAAAGTGCCGTGACCATCCTCCACGCTCCAGCATGTCCCTGGCAATGGAATGCCTTTATCCAGCAGTAGATGCAAATCCTGACGAAGCTTTCGGACAATAAAAGCGTCTTTTCCCAGGACATACTTGCACGATTGGCAGACTTGGTACGAACCATCTGCAAGGCCTTTTCTGCGCCGCGTCGTCCACGGCACAACATTTTGGTCCTGACATCGGGGGCACCCAATAGACACACTCTCGGCGTCATCAGGATTGTTCCAGGCCAACTTTGTCATGCTTTCGAAGTTTAGTTTGCAGGACTCGGGACACAAATATTTGAGGCTATCTGGGTCGATACATTGAGAGGCTAGCTGGAGGGGGAACCCTTCGTTCCATTGTGCCATCTTCTTATGTCGTAAACAATCCTCTCCGAAGGATTTATGATGTAGTATCAATGCATGTAAGACCATCAGGACATCTGTCCCAAGCCAGTCAGTGAGTCATCTTCTCTGGATAGTGAGCTTTCCAATGCCTACCTAATGGAGGTAACTGATCCCTTGTCCATATCCATCCGCCGTAGTGCCCATATGGCTTCTCCGATTCAATACCTGGTATGTCCGGATCTGCTGGTAAAAGAGCCCACCAAACGGAAAATCGATGGACAGCGCGTGAGACATAGATTGACCATCGACGTTCCTCCATCATCGACTGTCGAGCTATCGGATCTACTTCAGAATTGATTTCGTGGTCATACTCCGTCTTAAATAAACCTGCCGTTTTAGAGGTTCTCTGTTTCAAGTTCGAGAAACATCGGAGCAGTAGTTGATGTTGTTGACATGCCTGCGGAGACACGAGGACTGCCGTCTTCTGCAGCAAAGGTGTAGCCTCGGAGGCCTCTCTGACCGCAGTCTTCTCCTGATCAACAACCATGGTGTCTTGCGATATAACCAGAAAATGGAAAAGTAGGTTGTAAATGCGTCAATAAGTTCCCAGACACAAGGCCCCACCACCAAGACAGAGGATGGTAGTAGTGAGACCCTAGCACGATGAGTGTCTGCCTATCACGGTTCGCGTAGCTGATTCCGGGGCGCTCACTGAAGTACTATGATGACAACTTCTCCATTTCTGACTCAGACCCCCTCATAAGGCTACATAAATGGAGACCATGAGTGGTGAATACTTCCCAATACTGCTGCTTACATATACCGATTCGCTATGAAGGTGACTTTGACTCCCGCAGGTTCCTGTCACATTCTAGCTTAATAACACATGCAATTGACTGACGGCGGTGGAATGTGCCAACGCGCATGGCTGCTCGGTTCAGCTGCATAGGGAAGTTCCGATTTGGAGACCCTCTCATGGTATGATTCAGCACTAGTTAAGCCCATCAACCAGCACCAAATACTGTGGAATCCACTGCCCACAAATTTCTTGTTTTAGTGGCTCGGCTGTCTGTGCGAACAGTCTTACTGCGTCGGTAGGGCTTAGCTGCTTGGTTAAGTAGGCATAGTAAGAACCGAAAAATAACTCATGTGAGATTGAGAGACGTAGCCGCTACATGACCATTCTATTGCTGACGCCCTGTGGCCCACTTGAGGGTTCATCCTGTGGGCAGTGTGCTTCTTCGGAACATGCAGTGATTACTCGGACCCGTCAATGAATGCATGCCTTCAAAATCATTGCCCAGCAACTGATGGTGAGAAAAAGGGACAGCGTTGGTGTATTGGTCGCATCAACAATGAATCCCATGGACCTTGTTGTGGTTTTGACGTTGTATTCGATCTGTAGAATATGTCAATTCGAGACCCGCGATCCCGTGTGCATACACTCACGACTGCGACAAGAATTGTTCAGGCTGGATACTATCGCTCTCAGAGTATAGCTCACAAGAAGTGCTATAACAACAACGCAATTGCCAGTAAAGGAAGGTATACCGACCTCAGGAGTACGGATGCCCTCTTCCATCGCCAGGACCCTGCATCTCTAATGTGCTCCTTCTGTGGAGGCCTTGCTTACAAGGATCCACTGGTTCTTCAGGATGGATCAAGATATATCAGCATATTAAATTGACCAATCAACAACTCATGCACCACTCCATACTTGCTCCTTGGTCTCCTCAGATAATCCTTGTCCATTGATCCGATTACGGATCATCCCAACCATCTCTCTGTAAAGCATTCAGGGTTCGCTATTAGGTCGGTCATCATAACTCGTGTGAAATGAACACTGATAGCTTTCGTTGTTCCTTCTGACCTCTGTGGCCCCGTCCCAACACTCTCATTGTCATCTGTATGGCCATGTCTTAAATCGGAGCTTACGTTGCAAGGATTATATCAGGTTGGAAGCTGTCGCTAATGTGGAGTAGTAACTAGTAAATATGAATCTGAACAGCTCCAAAGTTTGTGATAGGGCAGATCGGCATGCGTCTGTCGAATTGCCAAAATTTAATAACAGGAAATTCGAGATGGGTCACTGCAGGCTGTCAAGGTACCATTGGCTGCTAAGCACTCATCACAGGGCGTGTCTTCCTGGCCGAATGTATCCTTGTCGAAGGAAGCATCGTTTCCCAAAACGTTACATTAGGGTGCTGGTGATCTGTGCATAATCCATATTGGTCATCTTGAAGGCTGCGAAATCGCACGAGCAGGAGGACTCGCCCCTGCCTTCGTCTGAGTATGGAATCGAAGGAGTCTGCGCTATGGGCGATAGATTGAGTTGCAGTCGAACGCGGGCTCAAGACATAAATTGGGCCTCCTCCCCAAGGGAAATTCTCCCAGAACCATAACAGCAAGCAACATAAGTATCATACCTCATAATTTGTCTCACATTCTCTACAAACCTTGACAGAATGGTCCGAATCAGTCTTTTCGGGACGCCCCTGTCTCCCATACTTGCCCTTGGCCTTGCAACTTGCGCCGTTGCTGTTGTTGATAAGTGGACCCCGGAGGGCTTCAACTGGAGTGCTCTCGACCCAGGCCCACGGGAAAATTGGAAAGGTCTCTATCTGAACCACAATGGTACGGCGGAGCACATCCACGAGCTCGCAGTGACCACCGGTGCTGATGTGAGAACGACGGAGGATGTCACTCTCGTGGTGGCCCCTTGGGCCATAGGTCTAGCATGGCATGCCTTCAACCTTGTTCTCACTGGTGCTGGCCTGGCAAGCACCATCAATACCTGCGCCCAAAACGAGGGTCAAGCCGACAATATCTTCTATTGTATCACTGGTCTTCTCAGCACCATCGTTGGCGTGGGTGGTGAGGTATCCGCGGCGAAGAAGTTCGCCCAATCCAAAGGATATTTGGGCGTTGCCGCAAACGCCTGGCTGCAGTCTGGTCTCGAACAGATTGACCTGCAAACATTTGCGCGAGACCTGGATAGCCTGCCCGCAAAGAACATGACTTCACAAAAAGTCCACAATCACTTCGTTCATAACGCTTTGCGCAGCCTGTCGACCGATGAAGTCGACTTCGTCGGATACGCACCCGATTCTCATAAGTTGGCCCGCCGTGACTCCAGTGTTCATCCCTTTGCACCAATGTTCCGCTTTAACCACCACAAGTATGGTCCCATGGAACTCACCTCTCGTGATACCGGTGAAGGTGGTGTGCACTTTACCATCTCGTACGCGGGCCATCCCACCCACCACGCGACCCAGGAGAAACGCGACGAGTTTTACAAGCATGAGCGGCTCAACGAGCACTTGATGGAGGGTCGGTTTGATTCTGAAGCCTCCAGCGCCGACCCGGGTGATATTACCTTCAATGGAGCCGACGCCTTTGGCCAAATCGAAAGCCAAGTTGAGTGCTTTGCGGGCACAGAGTGGAACGAGGGCAATGTGCTTTCCGTCCAGATGTATGATCAAGCCAACCATGCGACGTTCGGGTTTGCTTCTATTGGTATTTTCCCGGACAACAGCGTGGACTCTGGGCTTCAAGGCTTTGAGCCTCAGGGAATGCCTTTAACTGGCGGCCAGAATTGTTGAGCGGTTCTCGGTTAACAGGGTAATCTGAAGGACTGGCTCTCGCATATCGAAGTCTAGCACATCAGCAGTCAATGAGTTAAGAAGTCATCTATCAGATGTGCTTTCCATGGTAGAACAAGATGATAATGCAGTCGATCAATGAAGCTTGAAGATCATTAGTCAGTAAAGCATTGTCAGTAGTTAAATGAATATGTTGGTGCCATAGAGCAGACTCCTGAATGCAAATGCTAGCCACCTCGTACACTGTGAGGCCTATTATAAACCATGGCCGTGACATCAAGCAATGAGACTGAAAAGCTTTCAATCCATTAAACTAATCACTGCATCTGTGACTTTACAATTTCGGGGGCAAAAGAACAGATTTCTTGATGTATCTTTATATGCTCACTGGACTGAATAAATCACCGATACTATTGGGCACGCTGTGTAGTAAGAATAGTCTGTACGTGCCAAAGATATATAACTGGTGAATGGAATTTGCTTAGTGAAGTAGTGGTCCGTATTTCTGAGATATTGAGTGTCCTTCAGCTTGAATATGACCAAGATATATTTCCCGAGAGGAGATAATATGTGTGATAGAAATACTAGTAAGTAACGAAGCTGGAGATAATCCCACCTAGGATGACAGCCCAGCCCATCCTGTTGAGCGGGGCATCATCAACTTGAAAACGAGGATACAGGATCCTCTAAGTATGGTTCAACTTGACTGATGAATTAAATCTCAAAAACGCAAAAGGCAGGGCCTCATCAGACTGCTGGTGCTGCTGTTCGATAAGGAAGCCTGAATATCCAAGGTTCCAACATGACCCATACAGACGGAAGTCGACACACCAAAGCGCCTGACGCCTCAGGCACCAACCCTCTCCGCGGACATCTCCGCCATTCCAATCAGCAAGCTCAATGCCCACTTGCTTGCTCGATTGTTTGTCGCCGATCTCCATCTCCAATCAATCCAGACCCCAATACCACCACCACACCTCACCAATCACCCCCTTCCACCCTCACACACGAACAAAATGTCCTCCCTCAACCAAGACCAAATCAAAACCCTCGAACAATCCCGCCAACGCCTCATCCAACTCACCCATTCCCTCGCCTCTCTCATAACCAGTCTCAATCAAAGCGATCCTCTCCCCTCCTGGTATATATACCCCCCCAATGCCCACTCCATCCAGCCCACCCGGGTCAACCTTACTGATATGATGATACGGACAGGACATCCCTCCAATCCCAAGCAACCATCATCTCCAACAACCTCCTCACCATCTCCGACCACCTCTCCGATAACCGCGACCTCCTATCCAACATCGTCGCCTACCCCGACGCATCTTATCCGTCGCGCGTCCCCGCTAATAACGTCGCCCTCGAGCAAGTCCTGCGCACGAAACTAGATCCCCGCGTTGAGGATTGGGTAGCGCGCGGTCGTCGCGCCGGGGCGCCAACTACTTCTTCTGATGCTGGAGCCGGAGCACTGGGACAATACCAGACCAGCAGTGGACAGAGATTATTGAGTGATGATGCGATTGCTGAATTGTGGGATTGGGCGCCTGTCGCGGCGAATGAGGAGGCCAGGAAGAGGAATTGGGGCGGCAATTATACGTTGGAGGAGCGGGAGATGGGGATTGAGAATGTAGTTACGGGGTTGAGCAGGGTGTTGGAGGATGATGATGAGGAGGATGAGAGTGATAGTGAAGAGGGAGAGGGCGAGGCGGATGAGATGGAGGTTGTCGGGGCAAGGAGAAGGTCCGGGGCTGGAGCTGGGCTGGAGTTCGATATTGCTGCTGCGAATACTGGGTCTGGGGCTAATGCTGGTGCGGGGGCTAAGGTGGTTGCGCCTGTGGTGCCATTGGATGAGATTCTGAGGTTCATGACTACGGGGGCTGTGCCGGGACAGCGGTGATGTCTACTATGTTGCAATGCTTGTAGTAGGAAAAAGAGGATTAAAGATTTCTATAACAGGATTGATGCGAAGTAACCAAAAAAAGCAACTAGCCCCGGCGTCGAGTGGTGGGCGTCTTGCCTGATGGCTTTGGGGACACCCCCGAGCTGGTGGCAGCAATTGGCGTCTTGGCGGGAGTAGGTGCTGCCACGGGCTTCTCCTTCTTCTGGGACTTGGCCGGGCTGTTCCAGTAGTACAGCATTTGGCCGGCCAGAATGAGGTTGAGAGTGAACCCGGCAATGAAGCCGTACAGGATCAGCTTGTCGTCAACCTCTTGGAGGGTGGTGAAGATGCGAGACAGGGAACCAGCGAGATAGTTGAAGACCTGACTATGTGTTAGTAAACAATTACCGACAAGTAACGAGGTGCACCTACTGCAAAAGCACTCAGCTGGCCAGTGCCACCTTCACGCCAGATAGTATAGATTTGAGGCGCCTTGCTCGCAACACCCAGAGCTCCAGCTCCAGCCTGCAGCATAGCCATTGTCTGCGCATCCACCAGAGTCTGATCAAAAAGCAGCGCATACACGCTTGCTGCCACGACGGCAATGAAGGCCGCCGCAGCGGAAGACCGGCCCGCAAATGTCAATACCAGCATGCCCACGACTACATCTTGTACCGCAATCAAAGCCGTCTCGCCGAAGGTGCTGAACGGGAACTGGTTGCGCACGCTTTATGACAGCGTAATCAGAAGACTGGCGGTCTCGAGGGCGTACGAAACGAAGGAAACACCGGCAGATGAGCGGGAGCCGATCAGCTTGAGGATCTGGGGCACCTTGACAATGCCGCTAGCTCCGACGATAGCAATACCAAGTGCCTTCGAAATAGCAAGGGAGGTGCACGCCGGGTCCTTGCTCACGTCAAGATCGACCACGAGGCTGTTGTGGCAGGAGGAGCCGATCAGCGAAATGATCGCATCGTGAACCGGTTCGGGCAAGGCCGAAACGACGGGGCGGAGGAGGGGTTGGAGGGGATCGACGATGGTTTTCTGGATCGCGTCCATGTTGACTGAGGATAGGGACCGTGGGATTGAAGCAGGAGGTCCGACGAGGCCAGCGGGGAGGTGGTTGAGTAGAAGAAAGGCGGACGACGCAAGGACAACAAAAAGACCAACAAAGAACCAACGCATCTCCGGAATTGCGGGTTTGGTCGCTCCCGTCCACCGCGGCTTTTCTTCGTCTTGCGGCTTGAGCTTCAACTTCCGCAGCGTAGATTCGGAATCTTGGTTGACCAGAACCACAGCAGGACTCCGCCATGAGTCTCCTTCGCTCCTCGCTGCGGAGGATAGGGTCGCCAGGCGATCCTAGCAGGATATGCTCCCAATGTCTTCTACATCGAAATCGGACCCCTCGAACCTTCCCCGCCGCTCTCCGCACCTTCACCTCGTCCTTTCGATCCCACTCGGGCATTGCAGACGGCCATTCCGCTCAGTCGGCTCTAAATAAGACTTATTTCTCGGCCAATCGCGCCGAAGATGGCACTCCGAGCAAGAATGGCATTGCCTCCTCGCTCTCCGGCGGCAATGTCTCCTCCAGCGCGACATCTCCTCTCCCATCAGACCACCGCGTCGATGCCTCTACGTCTGCCTCCGAATCCACACAACCAGAGCTCCCTCATCGCCGGAGGAAGCGTTTAAAGGAAGAAGCGAACGCCCAAACCGCCGATCCTGAACATGTCATTCCCCCCGATGCCTCCGCACAGCTATCCGCCTTCTCTTCCGCCCAGCCCACCTCTTCCCTCCGCCGTAAGATGGCTGCTTTCCTCGCCCTCTGCAAGCCTCGCCTCTCCGTCCTCATCGTGCTGAGCACCACCTCCGCCTATGGCCTGTATCCGATCTCGTCCCTCCTTACGCTCGATCCGTCCATGACTCCGTTACCGACCCTCTCCACCTCAACCCTAACCTTCCTCTACCTGACGGCTGGCACCTTCCTCTCCAGCTGCAGCGCCAATACCATCAATATGTTTCTGGAGCCGAAATACGATGCTCTCATGTCGCGCACCCGCAACAGGCCTCTCGTCCGTGGCCTTATTTCCCGCCGTGCCGCCGTACTCTTCGCTCTCGCGACTGCCCTCACCGGTGTCGGCATGCTCTACTTCGGTACTAACCCCACTGTCGCGGCCCTCTCAGCAAGCAACATCATCCTATACGGCTTCATCTACACCCCGCTCAAGCGCCTCCATGTCATCAACACCTGGGTCGGCGCCATTGTAGGCGGTATTCCCCCATTGATGGGCTGGGTCGCTGCTGCCGGCCAAACCGCTACCACGGGCCACGATACCTGGCGGGACATGCTCTTCAGCCAAGACAGCATCGGTGGTTGGCTGCTTGGCGGTATTCTGTTTGCATGGCAATTCCCCCACTTCAACGCCTTGTCTCATACCATCCGCGAAGAGTACAAGCGCGCCGGCTACAAGATGCTCTGCTGGAAGAACCCTGCTATGAACGCCCGCGTCGCGCTGCGCTATTCCATCCTCATGTTCCCCATCTCCATTGGACTCTGGTGGGTCGGTGTCGTCGGTCACGGATTCTTGGTTAGCAGCTCGGTCGCGAATGCTTGGTTGGTGAAGGAGGCGTACCATTTCTGGAAGCACCAGGGCGCCAACGGAACGGCGAGAGGTCTCTTCTGGGCTAGTATCTGGCAGCTTCCGGTTCTGCTGGTGGGTGGTCTCGTCACCAAGAAGGGTCTCTGGGATGGTGTATGGCGTCAGATTTTCGGGCAGCCGGATGAGCTAGAGGATGAGTATGTGTATGTTGACGAGGAAGAGGAAGGTACTGCTTCTGCTGTGGCTGCCTCGCGCTCCAAAGCAGCGGCGACTCGCGTCGTATGACCAAGATCCTGCTCCGATCGGAACCGAATAAATGAAAGAAACCTAGAAAAAGAGGGAGGATTTAGTGTACTCCCCACCACTTACCCTTGATCTTATATGTATTTCATGGATGTATTAGATTCCCGTTTTGGTCGGCGTTCTGTACAACAGCAGCTACTTTGAACTATTCTTTTCCAAAGACCTTATGGTTACGTTCGGCTTTCTTGCTTTCTATATTCTACATCAACCCTGCCTTTCTATCAGGGGCACATTCTCCCCCAAGTTCACGCTTACTATTTTCTGGTACTGTGTGGTGAATACCAGTCGAGACTTCCGAATTCTAAAAACATAATAGATACAGAGTGAAGAACATTTAATCTATCTATCATACAAGAGATGTTCATGAAATACATACATACATACACCTCATACATTACCACAGCATCATTTCAACTTAATATTATACAACCTCGCGACCTCCTCACTGATCTTACCAGGCGCTTTAACCATCGCATCCTCGCCCTTCTTTCCGATCTTCGGGAACGCAATGACATCCCTAACCGACTCCTTGCCCAACATGACAGTGATGAGCCGATCGAAGCCCAGAGCGAACCCAGCGTGCGGGGGACATCCGGCCCACAAGGCATTCAGGAGATGCTGGAACTCGTCGATGCGTTCCTTGGGCATCTTGAGGATTTCCTTGAAGATGTAGTTCTGGGTCAGGGCGCAATGAATACGGCGACTACCGCCGCCGAGCTCGACGCCGTTGACAACGAGGTCGTAGTGGTCCGCGAGGGCTTTAGTGGGGTCTTTGCTGAGGAGGTCGACGTCCGAAGAGGTCTTCGGGGCTGTGAAAGGGTGGTGGGTGGCGGAGAGGCCGGCAGTACCACCTTGGCCGGGTTCGGAGGCATCCGCGGGACTGAATAGAGGGAAGTCGACTATCCAGAGGAACTCGAAGCCTGGGGGCGCTTCTCTTAGTTCCTCGGAGATGGAGGCGGCAGCCATAGCGCGGCGGATGCTGCCGAGTTGGGTTGCACCACCGGCGAAAGGGCCTTGTGGGCGAGCTTGAAGGATGAGCAGGTCGCCGTGACTAAGGTCTAGCATCTCTTGGATCTTTTCGGCTGCTTCGAACCCGAGAGGTCCCAGGCCCTTCAGGGGTTGTCCTTCGTCATAGATGAATATTCCTGGTGCACCATCGGGGTTCTTGTTGAATGGCACGCCCTCGGTAGAGTCGAAGAACCGTGAAACAAATTCGCGAGTTGCTGACGGTAGCTGCTCGACGGTATCCATCTTGAAGGCTTCAACGATTGGATCTGTCAGAGGGGTGATCTTCGACACAAGGTCGGCAGGAAGGAGGTGCTCGACACGATGAATCTCCATTCCATGGCGGGTGTCCGGCTTGTCCGAACCATAGCGAGTCATTGCCTCCTGGTAAGTCATTCGACGGAACGGACCTGAAGGGACTGGCTCACGCATCATGTTCCCCCACAGGCCGCGGATTATTTCCTCAACAACGGCCATGACATCTTGTCCGGCAGCAAAAGCCATTTCCAGATCCAGCTACAATCCTGAATCAGCAGTTATCCTGTATGGTGTCACTAGAACCTTACCTGAGTGAACTCCGGCTGTCTATCGGCGCGGAGGTCTTCGTCACGGAAGCAGCGCGCGAACTGGAAATATCTCGGGATTCCACTTGCCATGAGAATCTGCTTATATTGCTGCGGGCTCTGAGGAAGAGCGTAGGCTTTCCCCCTCTTCCTGGTCGGGACGATGAATTCACGAGCACCCTCCGGAGTCGACTTGAACAGCAAAGGTGTCTCTATCTCAACGAACGCTGGCTTCAGCTGTTCCAGCGTCTCCCGGCAGACATTGCGCGCTTGCGCTCGGAACCGGAGAGCATCACGCAGCTCTTTATCGCTTCGCAGTTGAAGGTGGCGATGCTTAGGCGGGTGAACGATGTTCTTTCCGAATAGCACAATCTCGCGGGGAAACTCGTTTAGCGGTTGAATTGATTCCAGCGCGATCTCCAAGTAATCGTTGCGCTCCTCCTCGGCAGTCTTTGTCACCCTGCGCTTAACTGTCCCTTGAACAACCACTGGGCTACCCCTGCTGATCTTCTTGAGCTGGGGCAGAGTATTGCTTTGTGAGTTTGAGAGAAGCTGTATGGTACGACCCATTGTGTGATCATACAAGCGGGCGAACGAGAGCTCTTTCCCCATGTCATCGCGTTTGTCCAGGTAGCCATGGAGGAGTACGGATTGGCCTTCGTAATCCTGCGAATACAAAGTGTCGATATCCAATGTTGTCTGGGGGAATTCCACTTTGGGAACGGGAGGTTAGCATTTCCGAGTGCGAGGATGCAACTTGGTCGTATGTGCTAGAACTGCTGGAAGGATTGCATTGGTTGGCAGGATGACGAACTCGATTGCTTGAACTTATCTAGGAACTCCGACGAGGTCACATTGGAGCGGTGCTTTTCACTGAAATCATGGAACGATCGCACAGGGGAGGTGTGAGCCTGCAATGCTGAAAGCCGACCGAGTTGTCTGCCGCGGAAGTAGTTGGAGATCTCCACGTAGGTCGCGCGGAGATGAGGGGGGCATCGGACCGCCCTGGCGAGATACATCTTGCTGCGCAAACCAGCCCGAGAGGAAGATTGAGACGTAGAAGAGGTCAGTCACAATAATCCAAAGCCTCCTGGGGTGGTAATGCAATGGCACGATGCCTTCGAGATGGACTCATAACTAATCAGGGAATCGGGAAATTGCCAGGCACCGCCGGGCGGAAACTCTGAGCAGAATATGACACGCCGCCTTCTATGACGGGTCTAGCGTCCTCCACACTGCCAATTAAAAGCAAAATTTCCGGCGCCGTCATTTCTTCCCTCTTCATCCTTCCAAGTTTTGTAAAAGTGAGTGCTACCTTTGACTTTTGACTTCCTTTTTCCTATTCACTAACGTGATATTGCAGATGATGAAAGCCTAGTGTGTTCTATATGAACCCATCTCTCTTCCTGGAGCCCTTCTGGCTCTCCTTTCGGGGCTAAAGGGCTGATGGGTTCCGGTTGAGAGTGGGATGAAATAGGCGTTCGGCACACCAACCTTGTTACTTGACGGACGCGATTAAGGCATCTCTGATTCACACATTACTTGGAGGTGTTATGCCTGGGGGAGCGGCTATGCTGTATGACCCTTACTGGTGCTGATGGCGCCTATGATTGGGCTCTGCAGCAATGCCCCAGGCCATGTTTAGTTAGGATATAAAGCAAATTCGAAATCTTGTTTATACCATTACTTGCGTGATAGTAGCAAAGTTCTCTGCAAGCTAGCCTACATGTCTATATGTCACTGTATTCGGCGCATCGTGCCCGGTCATACGAACGGCAGAACGATATGCGAAGAATGTTCACCCCCCAGATGGAGCACGTGTGTTCCATGTGATGCCAGTTCCTGGAATTCCCCGTCTTCTTTGAACTCACCCCGCAGCAATGGACTGTTTCCATGCACTTCGACGCGTATGCTTTCTCCTGCCTCATATTCCACTCCCATCGCCCATATGCCGATCTCCAGCTTCACAATGTCTCCAGGGGTGATGTATTCGTCGCGGTCATGTGGGTGAAAGGGAAAGTTCTCATGAAGTGACCTGGCAGGGTCAATGGCTCGGCGTGAAGCCCGTAAGATCCCCAAGGACCCGACATGGAACATGAGATTGTTCTTCTCCCGAGGAGAGATGCTGTCAACATCGTCTGGACCGACGCCGAATTTCGCTATTGATGACCACGGAATGTTGAGATTGAGCAGTGCCTTTCCTTGCGCGTCAAGCTTCCTTATAAGAACATACACGTCAAGATCATGAAAGTCTGGACACGACATGTACACCACTGCTTTGGGGATCCCCGCCAATCTTGTTCGGCTGGAGAAAGTGTGGGTGAAGCTCGCGCAGTCTTGGTACTTCTCTGAGTTATATGACACTGATGAAACCCCACTGGGGGCGTCATCGCTGAGACGGCCTTCGGGGTGAAAGTACATCTTGCGATATTCGGTGCGTGGAATTGGGTAGTCCTCCTCCGCGATATTGTACAACGGATCTTGATTGAATCGCAATATGGTAGTCCGTACCCTGGGTGTCTTCTCCCATCCATTGTCGGTGCCATTCAAATAGCGGTCGAAAAAGGATGCGAGCTCAGCGGCAGATTCCTTGCAATTCCACATATCGTACCATTCCTGCCATGGGCAGAGTCGCAGCCATTTATCCGACGATTGGGTCTGGAGCCATCCGCGAAGCGACCCCATCGTGTGCACAAAACTGGTGTACGAAGCGGTGATATAGGCGGGTATGCTGATCTGGCTGAGATCTGGTCGTTTATCCTTCCAGTATGCGCTGTTCGCAAGCGGATATCGTCGATACATCTCGTGAAAGTCTTCCACACCCCCGTGGCCCTGGATATTATGATCGATGATGAAATCAAACAAGCCCGCATCGAAGACTCCTCCTCGCACGAACTGCTCTCGATAGAGGTCACCGCATGCTTCCCAAGGAGCAATAGCCTTGAGTGATGGCGGGTGCAACGCAGCGATAAACCACTGGACGATGGCCAAGTGTGAGTTTCCTGCTAGACCAACGTTTCCATTGCACCAGGGCATCTTAGCCACGGCCTCGATCACGTCGTAACCGTCCTCGGCTTCCTGGGTGCCCATGATACCTACTGTGCCGTCTGAATCGCCAGAACCACGGGCATCGACGTTGATGATGGCGAAGCCTCGAGGCACAAACTCAGCTGGATCAGGCCCTTCGAATTTCTCCAGGCCGCTCAGCACGCCTTGAGGAATCCCTAGACCCCAGGGGAGGAACTTCAACATGCTAATTCCATTGAACTTCTTCCCAAAGGGGCTCCATGCTAAGATTGCGGGTACAGGTTTGGTGGTGTCTGTAGGACGATAGATGTCGCAATATAATGTGCTTCCATCCCGGACCTGGATACCCACGTCGTGCGATGCATGGATGTCACAAGGCAAGGGACGCGAGCCATCTTTGTTCCAGCCTTTGGGTAGAACTTCTTCACGAAACCCAAACGGCTGGTAATTGTTTCTGCCCACGGTGGGCTTGTCAATTGGACGAGTCGCAACAGGTACCGGAGAAGGCATTTTGAAAAGTATTGATCGCAATATAGACGGGAATGCCAGAGATTGTCGAGCTCCTTATGAACAATGCCACGCGCCCACCACTATGTGTTTTTCAAGAAAATACTAAGCGTGAAGTTACAAATCAATGTGAGCTCTTGCTTTTCTCTCTGGTTGTCGGGTTGTGGACATGGCGCATTGTCGGATCGTGCTATCGCGGCTATACCCCCAGCACGGCCGAGCTCGGGCGAGTTTGCATGCTCGTCTTGAGCTCTGCTGACCGTTCGGCAATTCATGAGTTCGGGCACAATGACTAGGTCATGGGAAGTGGCGATTACTATCTCGGATGAGGATGGGCTCGGCCGTGTCTAAGGGGATCAGTTCGGATCAATTACCCTGGCTGGAGATCCAGCTGGAGGGATAAAAGCGCGCAAAAGCTCCTCTTGCCGCCGAAGCCCTCGACGTCACCAAAGCTGTATATTCTCAAAGTACCATTTGCTTAGCCATCCAGGAGATCCTTTATTGCAATTTTACACTTCAACCATATTCCTTCCAAGTCAAGCGTCCTAAATATGGCACCCTCCCGTGTCGACACTCCGGAGCCCATCCCATCCCCTGCCCCGGGGAAGCTTCAGTCCATCCAGACACAGCAGCCTCAATATGGTGACTTCCGTGATGACTTCTTTCGTGACGGTTACGCTGTCATCAAAGGCGTGCTGAGCAAAGAGCGCGCCAGCGAATACCAAAGCGAAGCCCTGACCTGGCTCGAATCATTCGGCCTTGGCTTTGATCGCAACGACAAGTCCACCTGGAAGAAGGAAAACCTCCCACAGAGCTGGAAAGGCGGCATGTACCTGCACTTCTCTGCTGCGCACGAGAAGTATGTCTGGGACGTCCGGTGGTAAGTCACGTCTCTCTTCCCTCCTCTCTAGAGATCCATCTTGCTAAACCATGGCTACAGCGAGCCAGACGTCATTGCTCCCTTCGCCAAACTCTGGGGCACCGACGAGCTCGTCGTCTCCTTCGACACAGTGAACATCACCCTCCCTCAATCCATTGTAGGCGCCTACGATTCTCAGCCCTGGCCCCACTGCGACCAAGCGCCCGAACGCAAAGGTCTGGTCTGTGTCCAGGGCATTGTCAATCTCTCTAACTCGGGCCCCGATGACGGTGGACTCATTGTAATGAAGGGTTCCGCGCCGCTCTTTGACCAATTCTTCGAAGAGAACCCGGTCACTGGCCCCACGCCCTGGCGCACCGCCAAACACAAGGACTTCCATCCCTTCCATGACAAGGATTTAGACTGGTACCGCGAGCGTGGGTGCGAGTTGATCAAGGTCTGTGCTGAACCAGGAGATTTGATCCTTTGGGACTCCAGACAGATGCACTGGGCTCAGTTCGGGACCTCGGATCTGGTGCGCACCATTGTTTATGCGACATATACGCCGGCGGCGTGGATGAGTGAGGAGGATCGGCAGAAGAAGAAAGAATTATTCGAGGCATATGAGACAACTACACACTGGCCGCATACGAACTTGTTCACACATGGGAAGGCGATGGTGCAAGTGGATGGAGAGGAAGTGGTGGATCCGTTGGAGAGGGACGAACCTCTTACCAAGCCGGTGAGGAGTGAGAGACTGTTGCAGTTGGCAGGTGTGAAGCCGTACTAGTGATCTGTAGTATTAGATATCTTACAATTCTACTTCTTTTGTCATGGACGCCCTTTGATGATATATTATAAGCCATCTGATGCGAGACAAGTGTCTCCTTTGCAAAGCACTGCAAATACACCCAGCTGTAGCACCACATAAACCTCTCCACGATCTTAAACAACCAGTATCCAACCCATTGATGACACCTAGCATCTACATGGGGGCTATCGATGTGATCAACTTCCACTAGTCGGTTACCGCAACGTCGTCCATTGCCGTCGTGCGGCACGCGCACCTCCGCCCGGGTGAGCTCGGGCGAGATTCTCCCATCTCGCTGGTTCCCTCACTTCTTCACACCATATCATCAATCAAAACATACTTTCGGCTCCACGTTTGCAGCTCCAACTCCACGCTCGGACACGATGTGGCTAATAAGCTAGGCTTCATTACACAGACAAGTTCTACCCCACGGGGTACTTGGAACCATCAGGATGGAAGGCATATGAAGGCCGGGAGGGAGCACTGCTTAGTCCATTCCCCCGTCCTTTATTGATTAAGGGTAGTAGGACACAGCTCCTGCAAAGACAAGCCAAATGTCTGCACATAGCAATATGGATGACAAGGACATCGACGCAACGCACCATGAACTCGCTATGGAGAAATCCTTAAAGCATCATGGCAAAGGCAGTAACCCAACCGGCACAGTGAAATTAGTCGAGGATGGAGAAATAGTGTTGATTCCGACGCCGTCTCCGGATCCAAGAGGTTTGATTCCTTCACAACCTGTTCGAGAATATCATATGGCTAACGAACAGTGAAACAGATCCCTTGAACTACCCTCAATGGCAAAAATGGATAATCACGTTCGTGCTGGGATTGTGTACGCTCCATCCCTTCCCTCACTAGACAAACCACCATCTAATACGATCAATCTAGTCTCCGTCCTCGGTGTTCTAATGACCTCCGGAATGGGCCCCTTCGTCACTTTAATGGAAGCCTACTACGACTACAGCCCCCGAACCGACGATCTAATGACCTACCCAACCCTCTTTATGGGAATAGGGAACATCATCGCTATGCCACTCGCCATGGCAATCGGCAGACGCCCAGTATTCCTAGGCTCTGCATTGATCCTGACCGTGGGATCAATATGGTGCGCTGCGAGCACAAGTCTTTCGTCGCATATAGCGGGAAGAGATGTGTTATCGTTGGCAGCAGGGCAATCAGAAGCCTTATGTCCTCTTATCATCCAGGTACATCCACATCCCCATCCCATATCCTATGCTTCATAGACCGAATAATCTAATCAACATAATCCAGGAAATCCACTTCGTCCACGAACGCAGCAGCCGACTCGCCTGGTTCAGTGCCATCCAATCCATCGGCACCGCCGCCTTAACCATCGCCACATCCTACCTAGTAAGTAGCCTGGGCTGGAGATGGTGGTACGGGGTATTCTCCATCGCCAGCGGACTAGTCTTCATCGGCGCATTCACCCTAGTCCCCGAATCCCGCTATGACCGACCAACCGACGCCTTCGAAGGCGAAGTGCACATCCATCACGACGGCGAAGAGCAAGCCGTCATCCACGCAACCACCAAGAACCGCGTACCCCTAGACTTCACCAACTACCAAGCCCGCACCTGGAAACACACTCTCAAAATCATGCACCCACCAGCGAACTGGGAAGAAGCCCTAACATGCTACAAGCAAATGGGACAATGCATCCTGTTCCCTAACATCCTCTGGGTGGTCCTAATGAACAGCGTCTCCCTCGGCATCTACGTTATCGGAGTGACAGAATACTCCTCCATCCTAGGAGCCCCTCCATACAATTACCCAACAACAAGCCTAGGCCTAGTCCAGGGCGGGCAAATCGTGGTAGCGATGATAATGGTTCCCGTACTCGGCTACGGCGGCGATCAGCTATACAAATGGGTCGCGAGCCGTCGAGGGAACGGCACCGTTGAGTCCGAGATTCGGCTCATCCCGATGCTATTGCCGATTGTCGTACTGCTTATTTCATGCGTTATCTTTGGCCGTGCTGGATCTCATCCTACGGAGTGGTCGCCGTGGGCGATTACCACTACCTTTAGCGGGATGTATTTCGCTTATATAGGAATTATTCTCAACGGGTACACGTATTCGTTGGATAGTTATGGAGAGCGAGCGGCGCCAATTCTGGTTCTGATTTGTGCCATTCGCGGGTTTATTTCTTTTGGGATCTCGTTTGGGATTACGAAGTTCGTGACTGAGAAGGGGTTCCAGGGTGCTTTGGATATTTGTGCGATCATTGCGGGTGTTGTGGCGGCGCTTGGAATTCCGGTTTTTGTCTTTGGGGCCTGGATTAGAAGGGTTACGATGAAATATGCGGTGGATGGGAGGAGTGCGGAGTTTTGATTGAGATGCTATGGGTTGTTTTGTTGAGTTTGTTGATACGACGTAGCTATTTGATGTGACGTTTGAAGCTGGATTCGGTTTATTTAACTTGAAATATATTGGGTGGGGTTTTAACATATATCCAGCACATAGCTCTGTCTATCAGAATGACACCTCGTTTGGAAATGCCATCAGGCTCCCGGGATCCAACCACGGCAGCGACATGTCAATGAGCTCAGAGGAAAAGAGATCGTCTTCGAGTGGAAGCAAGTCCCCTGCTTCACCTGTGACTGTCGCAAACCGGCTCAGGGTGTTTGGTAGTATATTCCCACACGTGACGTCGCCAGCATCAGTGCTTTGTATCTGCTCATCATGGTCTAATGCCGACTTGCTCGCCTCCCCAGTTGACGACAGGTCCGCAAACAGAAATCTCAACGTGACCTCTGTATCGGAGAATGAGGCCCATAGTTTGGGAGAAGCGACAAGCTTCATGAGCCGGACGAATACCTTCTGGTCGATGAATTGTCTGGGTCGCAGAACGTTGGATAGCTCAACAAGACGGCGCAAGACAAGTAAGGCGTCGTGCCGTGTATCTGTGCATGTTCGCTCCACAAGATAGATACCGAACAAGATCAAGGCCTTTTCTTCAGCCACTTCAGCAGATGATCGGTGATGGCGAAAGCAGATCAGGTCCAGAGCCAAAAATATAGCAGCCGTGACAGTGGAGCATGTGGTTGCCCAGAACTTGTGGAAGTGGGGACATGGATCATGGTATCGTCGGGACAGAATGGCCTTTGCGCAGGAAATCCCGCTCTGCTGCACACCATCCTCTCCAGTTGCTGGGTTGCCCAATAGTTGAGGTATTAGAGCGACGCATAGGTTTATGTGCCAGCAATCTAAACAGTTGAAAATAAGACTGCGTTGGACGTGGATCCATTCAAGTCCTTGTTCGACCTCAAGCACAGATTCGTCGGTCCCGGGGTATGAGAGATGGGGCGGAAATGTTGCAGCCACAGAGTCGAGCTCCTCGAAGGAGGCTCGGACAGCTACTGTGGTCCACTCGTTGATAGATCTAGCGTGGTTCTGCATGGTTGCAGCGAGCTGGGCCATTGCTTTATGGTACTCAAATGGAGATGGAATATGCTTGTCTTCGCCAGCTATGATTGGTGGCACTTCCTCTCCATCCTCAGTTTCTAGCACTGTCGTGAAGGAGTCCGGGTGTATTGAAATAGGGCGGGACCACACGGTCATCCTTGGCTTCTCTTAGTGAAGTCCAGCCCAATATGAGCAGAATACTTACCAGTCGCAGATCACCAGTGTCCACCATAGCCTGCGGTAGACGTTTTCATTTTTCCGAATCAGCCCTGTGTCTTTAAGTAGACAGTTACTGGGTCTATCAGAACGTCCTCCGAGACGATCAATTCCAATCAAGCGGGCAATATTGACTGCGAGACCGTGTAGTGTGTATTCGCGACATGACTCGCCAAGATTTTTATGCACGATATTCAGAATCACCAATGTTTGTACAGTCGAAATACTGGGCTTGCTCAAGTAGTTGGCATAGCCGAGCTCCTTCAGAGCAGCTTCGCACCAGATACGGCACAGTTCCGTGGGTACTCTACTTAGGAGCGATGACCTGTAAGAAGGGAGTGACTCCTGGAGAAAACGGATCTTGCAAATATGATCGTCTGCCATGAAATATACCCCTATCTGCCGAACAGTGAGCTGAGGGCTTCTCATCGCCACCTAGAAACTTACAGCCAGCACACTAAGATATACCGCAATCCAAGCATGATTCTTTAGGCTTTCTGATCTGCTGTGGCTGAGGTGGTCCCAGAAGGAAGAGTGGTCTGTCATAAAAGCCGAAGTATCTAGAGCACAATGGACCCACCCAAAATGGGTTAGAGAAAACCGTACAATAGTTTCGCTCCAATGCCGATCTGGCAATACGAGTAGTAAGTGGTCATCCCTCGGATGAAGAGCGCCCCCGGAGACTTGTGACGCTTCCACCAAGAGTCCAAATGGGAGACTTTGAAAGTCGTTCAGAACTCTGTCTGAAGAGTCTGGGTTCTCTGCAGCAGGAGACAATCGGAAGATATCTGCCTCAAGTTTCAGCGTTTCAGGCCGAGAAAGTACTGATTCCAGCTGCCTAATGCGAGTTTTGAGGCTGATGTTTTCTCGCACAAGGTTTGATTCCGAGTCCGAATCGTCCATCCGTTTCTCTTCATCTACTGCGCTGCTCATGGGTCATGAGATCAGATTATTGAACCGGGCATTAATCAATGCATGGACAGATAGGATGAGGTGGACTCACACGGTGACCTTGCCATGCACTCTGACAATTTCGCGCTTGCAGGCGACAGTATCACCGCGCCGGATGCACTCTTCGCATGGTATTTTCTTGGAGCATTTAATCTTTCTCCGAGCACATTGGATGCATGTTCGGGGGACTCGCTGGGTCTGTCGCATAGGTTGTGGCATGGCTAGACACATGTGATAACCACAGAGTTATTATTCGGACGGTAATCAGTCGAATACCACAACCTTTATGTCCTAAGAGAGAATGTAGCGATCACAGAAGATTATATGCTGGCCGGGTGAGCTCGCCCGAGCTCGGCCGAGGTGATGCTCGTGCGCCTTTGGTTCTTCGGCATTTCGCTTCCCCGCATTTTGGACCTGCAGCTAATATTTTCCGGGGTAAGCTTCCTGGAAAGAATGCTGCACACTGGCCTGACGGAGTCTAAGCAGCACATGCTTCATTTGAGATTAGACGCGTTGCATCAGTCATTAAGGAGGCTTCTAGGATTCGTCATCCCTGGTACTATATAGACTTGCTGTGTGTGATAGCCGTTTGGTAGGTCATAACTATAGCTAACCATCAAAATATATGTCGAACGTACTACTGGATCCTCAAAAGTGCCGATTCATGATCACATCAACTGGAACAGTACGAAGAATTTAAATAATAGTAAATGTGAAATTGGAAGATGAGTTTCAGGAAAAAGGTAAGACATCAGGATGTGGCTGCTTATATTGAATTGTCGACAACCACTACAGGGATGTATATCCATAACGCCGCCTAAATCCGGGCATTTCTGGGCAAGATTCTGCCAACCTAGGCGGTCTGTATGGCGGTAGGGGATCAAAAGTATGCACAGAATACGGAGTACTGTCACCGCCAAAACATACAGTTTCACTCCCAGTTTTTCTGGGACGTACATTCTTAAATCCGCTTAAATCCGTGGTTTTCGCTGCGAGGTTCACTGGGTTCTGCCGGCTCAGGCGGTCTGTTTGGCGGTACAACCTAAATCACAGTAAATCTCATGTGACCTGTTCTAATCGGGAAACGCCCTATCGGGCAATGAGCTCCGCGTCAACAATTCTCCGTCGCGGCGCAACTGATCGGCTTCTTCTCGGAGGTGATTTTAGAGTTGAGTGATCTGCCATTCTTGCGCAATACCATTGCCAGTCAGTTACAAGCAGCCATTGGTTGACTTGTCTGCTACCTGGTATCATGAGGCCACACACAGGGGCTCTGCCTCGCGCGCTACGCCTCCATGTACCGAAGACTTTACCACAGAAAACATTATGCGGCGCTCGCAACTATGTGCGGACCGCCGAAGTGTTGCGGATGAACCAGTCGCCCTCCAGCAGCATTCGGCCCATGCTTAGATACCCAGTCACTCAAATTGCATCGGATCAGAGACGTTGGATCTCGCGGAGCTATCTGCAGAAACAGAAGGACGCTGCAAAAGAATGGGATGACTTTGCGGACGAGATTGAAGCAGGAAAGAGGAAGAACTTTGCACAACACCTTGAGGAGCGCGGACTACTGCACGATGTTGTTGGGTAGGTGATTTCGAAGTAGTACACATTAATAAACTGGAATTGGCGGTGGTTGGCTAACTTGACCCTACCACCAAATGCAGAGAACGAGAAACGTTAGACCGTCTCTTCACGAAAAAGAGAGTTGGCATGTACGCTGGCGTGGATCCTACCGCTCCGTCTTTACACGTTGGACATATGCTACCGTTTATGATTCTGGCTTGGGGTTACGTCTGGGGCTTGCCGGTCACGTTTCTGGTCAGTAATATACGTATGGTTGGGCAATATCGAGCCTGGCTAACATCTCACAGCTTGGTGGTGCTACCGCTCGCTTCGGTGACCCAACAGGACGACTGAAAAGCCGGGATCAAGTTCACTCCTCCGTCCGGAAAGCCAACATGGCGAGCATGCATATGCAGCTCAAGAAGCTGGGGCATAGTATTGATACGTATGGCAGAAGACATGGCTATATTAATAAGTACTGGCGGCGTGCCCTTGTGAACAACAACACCTGGTGGAATTCGCTGCCTGTTATAGAATTGCTTCGAGACCTAGGCGTTCACACCCGTCTCGGACCCATGATGGGGCGAGACACGTAAGTTCGCCCTTTCCCAATATCCGTCAGGATGATGCTCACGAACACATAGGGTCAAAAACCGGCTGTCCAAGGGAGATGGAATGTCCTTTGCCGAGTTTACTTACCCCCTAATGCAGGCATGGGACTGGTGGGTACTCTTCCAAAAGGGTGTTCAGGTTCAGGTTGGCGGCTCGGACCAATTCGGCAATATTCTCTTTGGCATGGACGCAGTGAAGTCCATCGGCAAGAACATGACCGATCCAGAGCAACAATTCGATTTTAAAGATGAACTTTCTAGGCCTATTGGTATCACGACTCCTTTGCTCACGGCTCCGTCTGGCGAGAAATTTGGCAAGTCTGCTGGAAACGCGGTCTGGCTCGACAAAGACATGACGTCTACTTTCGAGCTGTACCAGGTATGATGCACCGCACCACCTCGACAACTCGCCTGACTTAACTGATGGATGACAGTTCTTCGTTCGGACACCGGATGATGTTGTTGAGCGCTACCTGAAGATGTTCACCTTTTTGCCGCTGCCCGAAATCGCTAAGATTATGGAGGAACAAAACAAGGACCCCTCTAAGCGGGTGGCCCAGCATGCTCTCGCTTCAGAGTTTGTCGAGCTGGTCCATGGCAAGGTGGAAGCTGATGCGGTGGCTCTCCAGCACCGTCAGCTTTTCCGTCCACGGTTATCTACGGCAGAACCAAGCCCACTACCCCGGAAACCCTCGACCGGTGGTAGCCCCCAGTCACCAACGGCCGGCTTTGCTACTCAAGAATCTGGAAATCCCTATGCCCCTCAAACCAACTTTGCAAACATGCCACAAGTCAACATTACCCTTCCGCGGTCTCTAGTGTATAATCAGACGCTGAACAAAGTCCTCTGGTCCGCAGGACTGGTTGGTTCCAAGAGTGAAGGCCACCGCGCAATTGAGAACCGGGGTGCTTATGTCGGCAGTCGTCCGGGAGATAGCGGGCAAATGAGTGACGACCTTGCGTTCACCCCCATCAAGGTATGGCCCGCGGCGAAGACACAGGAGTTTATCATTGGAGACAAACTTTTCCTGAAGATGGGCAAGTGGAAGTTTAAGATCGTGACCATTGTCAGCGATGAAGAATTCAAGGCGGCTGGATTCACCGCGCCCGGGTGGGAGCCGGAAACGCCGGAATCCGGCAACAGCGCTTAAAGGCCATCTGGCTGAGCCTGAAAGGCTCTGACTTGATTATACACTCCTCATTGTATTTTTAGACATGTATATATACCATGTATGCCAAATGTATCCGACGATTGATAAGCCTCTCATAGCCGGGTGTAGCGGAAAGAGGTGAAATGTATCAACTAACAATGCTGATGCTCTCTACTCCTATCAAGAATCATAGCTCTACTAGTACGATAACAGTAAGGTGCTAGCTGCCAGGCAGTATCTGTCTCCTTATCGTACCTTCAGAGAGGTCCTCCGAGAATCAGTTTCATTATCGAGTAGTAGACTGGAAAGGCTCTGAAACGCTGAAAAAATTGGCATCGAAAATAAAACCCCAAGCGTTGCACTGTCTTCGGTAGTCAAGCCAGTATGGTTCTTTTTTCCCCTCACCGTCCCTAATGAAAATCCCCCTGCTTCACACGTCGAGTCGATGTATCAAATTAGTAGACTTCCGCTTTTACCCCATACTACGATCTCCACCGGGATTTCATTGGGCGAGAGGCACCCGGGCTGTCAGTCTCGAAGCAGAAGGCGGCGGCAGAAATCCACTTAACGCGTCGACGCGCGACGCCCGTTTCTCGCTGCGCTCCCCGGGACTGTCTGGACCATTCAGTTCACCCTGTCCAATGTTCATCCCCTTCCTCTGTTGCTTCCCATTCCCCTGACCCATTTGATGGGCCTATTTTATTTTTTATAATAAAGCATGATATAAACTACCTACCATCAACCTCCTTCTGATATATAACAATACAACCCATAATGGCTAGAGGAACCCCCGCCGCCTCCTCTCCCACGACTGCGACGCCGCCCACCGGAGCCTTGAAACGTTCCACGTCCAGCACCCAGAACATGAAAAACCAGAAGTCAATTCTTGGGTTCTTTCAGAAGTCATCTCCATCCACCCCGTCCACTGCTCGCAATGCGGAGCCTGCTTCTTCTCCGGCGGAGAGGGTCTCAGAGCAGCGACGCGGAAGTGCGAAGGGCGCGGCGGAAAGGAAGAAGAGCGTTCCTAAGTTCAAGCAAGAATTGGAGCCGGTGCCTAGTAGTGACCTAGTGATTCCGGAGGAGGATGAGCAGGAAGATAATGCACAGGTGCGATCTGCAGAAAGCGGTGTGTTATCGGGCTTGACGTCTAACACACGATGCATTAGGAGAGCCCGAATGGCAAAGCTGAGCTGAAGACAGCATCTCCATCACGGCGGGTAAGGATCTGAACCCGGGCATCAATGTGTTCTACAAATGTGCTGATAATTTATCATTCAAGGCCAAGAAGCAAGTCAATTACGTCGAATCTGACTCCGAAGGCGAAGATGACGACGAGAAGATATTTCGCCCTGGCCGTAACAGCAGGAACAAGCGAAGGAAGATGTCTCCTGAAAGCGATGACGAGTTTAACGATGGTGGAGATGTCGGCTACTCCGATGATGGTGAGTTTTCGTGCTCAAATCTTAATGCACGATGCTGATAGGTTTTAGAAATGGACGACTTTATTGTTGCAGACGATTCGGACGAAGAAGCGAAGCCATCTAAGAAGCGCAAGAGGCCGTCGACACAACCGAAGAGCAAGTCCTCCTCTTTACCGCCTGTATCATTTGAAGAGGACTTGGACATGGACATACCAGATGCATCTGCTGGCACAGCTCTGAAGTGGACGTACGATCCAGAAAGCTCCGAACCACGCCAGCCGCGCACAACACCGGTTACTCCAAAGAAATCTTCGGGAACTACGAAGCAGAAAGCACATGTGACAGAGCCTGAACAACGGTATGCCTGGCTTGCCAACATCCGGGACATTGACGGGCACCCTATCGGGCATCCTGAATATGATCCTCGCACCCTGTATATCCCTCCACTGGCTTGGACCAAGTTCTCTCCGTTCGAGAAGCAATACTGGGAGATCAAGCAGAAATTCTGGGATACCGTTGTCTTCTTCAAGAAGGGCAAGTTCTACGAACTTTATGAAAACGATGCTACAATCGGACATCAACTGTTCGATCTGAAGCTCACGGACCGTGTGAACATGCGCATGGTTGGTGTCCCGGAGATGAGTCTGGATCACTGGGCCAACCAATTCGTGGCCAAGGGTTTCAAGATCGCTCGTGTTGACCAAATCGAGTCGGCCCTGGGCAAGGAGATGCGCGAGCGCGATGGTAAGAAGGGTGGAGGTAAAGAAGACAAAGTCATCAGGAGAGAGTTGTCGTCCGTTCTCACGGCTGGTACCCTCGTCGAGGGCTCCATGCTGCAAGATGACATGTCCACCTACTGTGTTGCTATCAAAGAGGCTCTGATTGATGACAAGCCTGCCTTTGGTATTGCTTTCGTTGATACAGCAACCGGCCAATTCTTCCTGTCCGAGTTTGTGGATGATGTTGACATGACGAAGTTCGAGACATTCGTCGCGCAAACCCGACCCCAGGAGCTTCTTTTGGAGAAGTCTGCAGTATCTCAGAAGGCTTTGCGCATCTTGAAAAACAACACTGGCCCAACTACACTCTGGAATTACCTGAAGCCGGTGAAAGAGTTCTGGGAAGCTGACATCACAGTGAAGGAGCTTGATGTGAGCGAGTATTTCGTCTCCCAGGACGATGATAACTTACAAGCTTGGCCCGAAGCACTCCGAGAAGCCCGCGACAAAGAACTGGTCATGTCCGCATTCGGTGCTCTAGTGCAGTATCTCAGGCTCCTGAAGATTGAGCGTGATTTGATCACCATTGGAAACTTCACTGCGTACGATCCGATCAAGAAGGCCACCAGCCTGGTGCTGGATGGTCAAACTCTTATCAACATGGAGATATTCTCCAACTCTTTCGATGGCGGCTCCGAGGGCACCTTGTTCCAGCTTTTGAACCGCTGTATCACACCTTTTGGCAAACGCATGTTCAAGCAGTGGGTATGCCATCCGCTTGTAGATGCAAATAAGATCAATGCTCGCTTGGATGCAGTGGATGCCCTCAATGCTGATCCCACTGTCCGGGACCAATTTTCGTCCCAGCTGACCAAGATGCCCGATTTGGAGCGACTAATCTCTCGTGTCCATGCTGCGAATTGCAAAGCCCAAGACTTCCTGCGCGTCTTGGAAGGCTTTGAGCAGATCGAGTATACCATGAGTCTGCTCAAGGAAAGTGGCTCAGCCGGAGAAGGCGTTATTGGACAATTGATCAGTGGCATGCCTGACCTGAATGAGCTGCTCGAGTACTGGAAGACTGCTTTTGATCGCTCCAAGGCGAGAGAGAATAGCATCCTGGTACCCAAGCCCGGTGTCGAGGAAGACTTTGACAGCTCCCAGGAAAACATCGAGCAAATCCACCGCGACCTCGAGAGCCTGCTGAAGCGTGTACGCAAAGAGCTTGGATCTTCCGCAATTATCTACAAGGACAATGGCAAGGAGATCTACCAGTTGGAGGTGCCAATCAAAGTGAAGAACATCCCAAAGAACTGGGATCAAATGTCTGCTACCAAACAAGTCAAGCGCTACTATTTCCCGGAGCTGCGCAAGCTCATCCGTCAATTGCAGGAGGCCCAAGAAACACACAGTCAGATCGTCAAGGAAGTCGCTGGCCGATTCTATGCACGATTTGACGAAAACTACACCACTTGGCTTGCTGCCGTCCGCATTGTTGCCCAGCTCGACTGCCTCATCAGTCTGGCCAAGGCCTCCTCATCGCTCGGACAACCTAGCTGCCGTCCTGTCTTCGTCGACGATGAGCGAAGCGTTCTTGAATTCGAGGAGCTGCGCCATCCATGCCTAATCTCCTCAGTTGGCGATTTCATCCCTAACGACGTCCAACTGGGAGGCACACACGCGAACATCGACCTCCTCACCGGAGCCAACGCAGCCGGAAAGTCCACCGTCCTCCGAATGGTAAGCCAGCCCTTTCCTCTTCCATGGCTTCTCTAGATCACCTAGACTAACCCTGAAATCTGTAGACCTGCGTCGCCGTAATCATGGCCCAGATCGGATGTTATCTCCCCTGCCAATCCGCGCGCCTCACCCCAGTCGATCGAATTATGTCCCGCCTAGGCGCAAACGACAACATTTTCGCAGCCCAATCAACCTTCTTCGTTGAGCTCTCCGAAACCAAGAAGATCCTCTCCGAAGCCACACCCCGCTCGCTCGTCATCCTTGACGAACTAGGCCGTGGAACCAGCTCCTACGACGGCGTGGCGGTCGCTCAGGCCGTCCTGCACCATGTTGCCACTCATATCGGCGCTCTCGGATTCTTCGCAACCCACTACCACTCCCTGGCTGCCGAGTTCGAGGGACATCCTGAAATCGCACCGAAGCGCATGCGCATCCACGTTGACGACGAGGAACGCCGCGTCACGTTCTTATATAAGCTTGAGGATGGCGTTGCGGAGGGCAGTTTTGGTATGCATTGCGCGGCGATGTGCGGCATTCCGGACAAGGTCATTGAGCGGGCAGAGGTGGCTGCGAAGCAGTGGGAGCATACAAGCCGGTTGAAGGAGAGTTTGGAGAGGCGGAAGGGAGGTGGGCTGGTGGGAATGGGATGGTGGAGTGATATTGCTTGGGCGTTGAGGGAGACGGTGGCTGAGAGTGAGGAGGGTGCTCAGGAGGTGAGTGACCGCAGTTTGGAGGTGCTGAGGAAGGCGATTGAGGCTTTGTGAGTGGGTCTCTTCCGGGTTAATGAAGGACATACATGTCTACATAGATGGTATCTTGTTTTCTTATTCTTAAGGGTATGGAATGGGTGTTAGGATTAGAGATATGTTTTGAAAAGTGAGGATATAATCGGGAATTATCTGTTATCTAATCGATCGAGATGAGATAAATAGTATCACAAAAGGGTACCTTACGCCCAAGCTGCATATGTTGTCAATCCTCTGGCTGGTCTTTCAAGCAATTACCAGCTTTAGCCTAGTACTAGTTGAAAGAATGATCATGGCTATGTAGGGGTCGGTAGAGACTTAAGGTGATTCTTCATGGAAGCCCTCCATCATGTACTTCACCATAGATGGATCCTTCGCAATGGCTTGATAACGCTACAGTCTTCTCCGTATAGGGAGATAATAATAAACCAAGACCAGAACCAAAATAAAGCAAGAATAAGATTCATGATATTTCGATTTCACGTTGTTGAGATCTATCATGGCGTATTGGTTACTGTTATGGCTGCTGATTTGAATGAAGACAATAGTAGGTAGTAATCATACTCGATAAGAGAAGCTGGAATGCCTTCCTTTCCTCTGGTTCCATCTTGGATTTGAAGCAGAGCTGAATACCCTTCAACGAACATATCGAGATAAACGTAAATGTAATGCACTTGAAACCATAGGTCTTTCCAGCATTCATGATCTTAGATTCTGGATGGGCATAAATTCGAATCATTGAGGACACGGGTAATGAAGATTGATTTTCGATCATATGTATGTCTTCTTCACTTCCTGGTAGAGGGAATGGTCCGGACATAGTTTCTGCACTCACGATTGCTGCAGTAGGCTGTCATCTACAATATTTCGACATATTCCAAAGTAACTATCACCTATATTCTATCTTACTGGGTAAGATAGTGCATTTCTGAGTTGAGCTGCATTTGACAATTTTGTGGTTTGGATCGGTTATTGTTATGTTAAATTGCGAGAAAACTACCTCCAAAGTAATGCAGCCATATGATTTCAGGTCAAGCTGAGAAGGATGTTTATCTGGGTACTATATTTTAGAGGTCTATGTACTACAGTAGCACTATTGACAGTGCTAGGAGACGACAATCATTTTCAAACGGTTTTCATAGATGATAGTAGTCTGATATGAAGATTGTTCAGTAACTTGTAAGTCTCTAACTGCATTTCACGAAGTGATGTTCTTGATCCGAGAGGGATGGCAGGTATGTTCCCAGAATTATGGATAAATATCAGATTGATACATCAAAGAAAAAAGCAGGCGTAGTGGAACCGAAAGCGAAGTAGACACAGCAAAGCGACTTGAAATAGGTGAACAAGGAACAGCAGCCTTCAAACAAGACTAGGGAGCGCATACATGGATAACAAAAGCTATCATATCAGATACTAATCATTCGCGTCGAGGCCTTTTAAGAAGCGGTGAATCCAGGGCATTCAGCTCTGCGCGCCACAGTGCAGCCCTGAGCCTTGGATCTTTCTCACATGCCCCCTTGCGAAGAGTCTCAAGGCGTAACTTGAAGATCTCGAGGAAAAATTCCAGATCTTCCACAACATCTGCGATGCACTTATCACTCCGCCATTGTGCCAGAGACACGGGCCAACGCAACACCTTGCCGTTGGGAATTCCTGTGTCTTTGATCTTGGCTAAAGCCTTTTCGAGAGGGGCTGGGATCGTAGTTAGATCGACAATAGAAGCTTGACGGCGCTGGACTCCATCCAGAGGATTTGATTCCACGACAGATGTCTCTCTTTGTTCATCTCCTTCTTGCGTTTCCCTAGAGGTCCAGGGGTCCCTGAATAGCTGCTCCTGGAAATCCACCACCTCATTGGCCTGCAGAGTAACAATTTGGTTAATGACTCTCTCTCCATCAATCCTTCCGTTACGCTGCTGGCGTTTGCAAGTGTAGAGGACTGTTCATGTTCATCCACAGAAGCGCCTTGGGCAGACGGTGCGTCTTGGGTGGTTGGCATGGTGCTGGTGTGAGGATCTTGAGGAAGTTCGAAAGAGATAGGCGTGGATGCTAAACAGGCGAGATACTTTGGGACTTTACACTGTTAGTCTTCGAAATTCGTGTCTGGACATTGATTCCATATAGAATCAAGCCAAAGGCTTGAGAGGGCCGAAGAGTTGGGGAAAATGGTGCTTCTATGATAACAGGGGCTTGTTTGTATCACTCACCTGAGATGTTAACGGGCCTAACAGTCAAGCTCTGTTGTGCAGAAAGAGTGATGAGGAAGAGAAAGGAAACAAACTACATGACTGATACTTATAGCTGACCCGCCGGTGCCTGTGACCCTTCACACGTACAAATGAACGACTAATCGATCTATCTCCAGGGCGATATTCACATCCCCCGTCAGGGAAAGGTTTTCTCAGCTAGACTCTCCTGTGCAGCTCCTTGTTCACTTCTCACAACCTTCCTCTCTCTCTCTCTCTCTCTCTCTCTCTCTCTCTCTGGTGTATTCCTTCATAAGTAGCCATACTTTTTGTGACGGCTCTCAATACATCGTGCACTTTAGTGGACAGTTACAGCCTAATCGATTTTTATCAAAACGCCTGAAGGTGACCCTTGAATCCGCTCTTCAAAACACGAAAGACCTCATTACTGAATGTGAAGGCATGGCAGACACCTTCTCCAAAACGAACCCACCCGCCCAAACCGAAAACCTTCCTATCCAACTATCTTCCGAACAAATCATGACTTTACAAGACATGCCGCAGGATAAAGAGTCTCTAAATGTGATCGAGCTCTTGAAAGCTCATGTCAAAACCTTGGAAGAGCAATGTCACAAGGCTCAAGAGGAGAGGTTGAAGGCTTGGGAAGAATGTGACAAGGCTCGCAAAGAGCGCAACGAATCATCCAAAAATGCTGTCGAAACCATCGAAAAAGTAAATAGGGACGCAGCAGAGCTTCGAAAGGAGAACCAGGAGCTTAAAGCTGAACTTTCAAAAGTGCAGGGCTGGCGCAATCTCTTTGAACAGCCAGCCACGAAGAACAGCGGTACCGCAAAGGAGAAGAACGACCGGAAGCCAAAGATACGGAGGAAAGGGAGAGCTGATAGATACGGTCCGAATCGCATAGAGAGATCAGTGTATCCAGAATTCACATTCACACCCTCTCCACCTCCTCCTGACCCCGGACCTGCATGCTCCTTTGCAACCCCACCTTCCGATCCATCTCAGAATCTCAACTTGAACATTGCCAAGTTGGAACACACCCACGATGGAGAGCTTCAAAGTGGCAACAAAACGGAGGCTGGCAGAGAACCTAGACCCAAGAAGCGCGTACGTTTTGAGCTAGATACCTGCCCAGAGGAACCAACAGCAGAGGGAATTCCGTCAAGCCGGGACAATGCGCCTTATCCTGTCCCCGAATGGGTCGTCTCACCTTTGGATCCAACTTACTTACCAGTGGTGCTAACACCACTAGAAACCTCGTCAGACCATGACTATGCGCCTACTACTCGTGGCCTCAGACCTTCAAGAACATTGGCAAGTGCACTACCTTACTATCGAGCCTTTCCACCTCACAGTCCATCTGACTACCCGCTGGAGCCATCACCACATTATATCCCGTTGCGCCCAGACAATGTACCTACTCCTAACCCTGAAGTTGCACGCCGCCTTTCAAGGGTAGTACATATCAGTTACCGCACACCTGAGGCCAGATGACCATAATACGAGGGCAGATCAATCGCAAGCTCACAATCTTGGAGCAGAAAGTTTCGGATCCTGATAGCAGGAATTTGCTTCGGCAGGATAATCACTATGGATGAATTCGTGTCTGGGCGCGTATGTGCAATATGCACGAGTTCGATTGGGCTTGGTATTGTCGTTCAGGCAGTATCTGGTATGGACATATTTAGGAATGATCTGGTTTTCTGCGCTATTCACCAACTCCATAACGTATCATGTTATCTATGACGATGTAGCCAGCTGGGGCGCTCGGTAATAAAAATTAAGCATTAATTTGCTGAAGAAATTGAAAATGTGATACTGGGACCGAGATGTAATGAGCGCAATTGGAGGCCGTCGAGTCGTATTCATTACTCATAGATGGAACAGAAGCCTAGATTTCTTTCAGCAGAGCAGATAATCATAATTAAAAGCAAGCATGTAAGCAAGGTACTTCTTTTGAGGTAATAGTATTACCTACATAACATGCATTGTCGAACACAGATAACCATATGAAATCATGGGGATTTTCCAGTACTTACAAGCTAGGGGATATCGCCAAGAGGCAGATATACTTCTTGGTATATTTGAAATACATACCTTGGCAAGATTGTATATAATGAGTGTTCCTGAGCATGGAACAAGCGCAGAGGTGGCCCAGGACTGATTCCATCCTGCCTATCTCAGGCCCTATTCCGCAACTAGTTTTCCTGAGACTTGAAGATATCAAACATTGATCATGAAATGAGTAGTATATATTGAGCAATTATTCAGATATACGTTCTTATCCATTTATAAAAAATAGATGGCTAGGGCACACACCGCCCCTGAGAATGCATCAAGTTCTGCACTTGTGTGAACCAGCGCTGGCAATTGAGCAATGGATATAATCCATGATACTTTGCGAGAAAGACCCGATGCGCCGGTTATGCAACTCGACCATGAGTTGGGCAGTTGTCTAGCCAGCACAAGCTACGCAGTTAAGCACTGTAGAGTGAAGAACCTCATACATCACAATCTCAACCATATCTCAGGTGTCTAGAATCTCTCAATGGCTAGCAGAAGGCGAATCAAGGTCCAGCTCTCTACTAATGACGCAAGCTATTATGCCGGAAAAGCCTAGTAATCGGGTATTTAATTACCAGCAAAAAGCACCCGATACCGCTGCTACTCTTCCTCTGTACCAGTCTCCTGCTACATCCTAACTTAACATCCTGCTCATCTCCTCCGCCTTTCAGCCTTTCACCAGTTATTCCGCTTATAGCTCAGCACTGTATGAAGCGTGACGCACTAGTACAGTACGAGTCTTTAGACACACCCTGATACAAAATGGAGTCCTGATCGGCCCTGATGGAATTCATGTTCTCGAGAAAGACCGCCTAGTAAGTGATCGGATCGAAGGTGATACCTCAATTGTCCCTGCCTTGCAACAGGGTCGTTTCGAGCAGGGGACAAAACAATCCCATAATTGGTGTTGGTCAAAGCTCCCAGACAAACCTTGACCCTGTTGATAAGACCGAGGGTAGAAACGACGGCCTCGAAAACTTTGCATCATGAAATCACTTGACCAGAAGGTAGCGTTGGTTGGCTCTTTACTTGGCGGCTGATCCCGAGCTCCGCTTTATAAACTCCCGCAATGATGAGCGAACCAAAAATTCAGGACTACAGGCGGCAGGGGAAGCAAAGCTTAAATTATAAATAAAGATCGACATAGCAAGACCCTCGCGAACACCCCGTGGGACAGGGTTCTGCATTGGCATTTAAAGTTCGGCTAAGCAAACGGAAACGCTTGAAAACATCCGCTTTTTGAGTCTCTGCTTCAGCTTCCCCGGAATTTGAGCCATCCCTAACCGTTCGTGATCCAGTCCCTGTAAATCACTAACAATTCAGGGGTTTGCTCATCGTCATTTCCTGGGAGTCGACCTACTATTCAGACTTTGCGAGCGAAGTATCATCATGAAATCGCTCTTTTGTCAGGCTGGGAATTTACTGTCTCCGCGGGTGTATAGCCAAAGAGCTATATAAAGTCGCTCAATTGTCTTTCAACCATCCCTATCATCAGCAATCAGCATCATCATTCACTACTCCTACTCTACTACCAATCCTTGAATCAATCCACTTCCAATCACCTCAATCTTCACCATGAAGCTCTCCATCTTCTCCATCCTCACCCTCGGCCTCGCCGCCGGCAGCCTCGCTGCGCCCACCGCGGTTCAGGAGCGCGACCTCCCCACCATCACCGGCGTCCTCTCCGGCATCGGCACCAAGGTCGACGCCCTGGGCTCTGCCATTCAAGCTTACAACGGTGGCGACGTGGCCAAGGTGCAGCAAGCCTCCGACACTCTGGTGACGGCCATCAACAACGGCAACACCAAGGTCAGTGGCACGGCCGCCCTTAGCAGCGGTGACGCGCTGGGGCTCCCCGGCCCCGTCAACGACCTCAAGAACAAGATCTCCGCCGTTATCACCAAGCTTGACAACAAGAAGAACCTGATTGTCAAGGCCGGCAAGGGCGCGCAGACCTACAACGACCTCACCCAGCAGAAGGCCGCTGCTAAGAAGTTGTCCGATACGATCGTCTCTAAGGTCCCGGAGAACCTGCAGAGCCTGGCTGGTTCCATCGCCGGTGGCATCTCTGATGCTATTAACACAGGTGTGAAGGACTTTGCTGATCAGGCCCCCAAGGCCTCTAAGCGTGAGGAGGCGGCTCCTCTTGTTGATGCCGCTGTTGCCGTTTAAGAAGATGGCTTGGGGAGGGGGTGTGGATCTGCTGTGCAGATCATATCCGTTGTCTGTGGTCTCGCTGGATACAGTTGAAGGTTATCGGGATAGCTATTATGTGAGAAGGATCAATGTAGAGATTATTGAATTGCTTATAGTTGAAATGAATGCCGCTTATACTTTATCATTCTCTAATGTAGCCTGATACTAGGCAAGTAGTGATACTGCATACTTTATTATATTAATGGTCTTCGGTTTATGGTCCGGTAGAGACGGGTGTCACAATTGACGCTGCTCAAGGTGGTTTCACAGTTCAGGCGAGTGTGGGCGGGATTTTGCTCGGAGCAAGGAGCAGAAGCTGGACATGATCAAGGCAATTGAGGTGAGTGAGAGTAAGTCTGTGGCCGATGAGCAGGTGTCGTACCGGTATCTGTGGCATCAGAGGCATTTTGGCAGGGTGTTTATTAAAATTGGCTGGATCCTATTTTCATACCGTCTCAAGTCCTCACTCAAAAGACCCACATGGCCAAGGCAGATACTCCGTTAATCAAGACATCAATACCGTTCTCGATATTCAAATGTAGACGTGTGTGAAGCCCATAAAGGGATGTCTCGGAGCAGTATGCTACATGCAGCATACAACCAACACTAAAGTCTCGAAGGGAATGATTGGCAACCGACTATTATGGCCAGGCCCAGGCAGAAAAAGCTATCAGCCGCTAGGTAACCACGTCTTCTACATTCTATGCACAGAGATGAGGTGTGCTACAATTGACCTATCACAAAATAGGCACCAGGGAGTTGTTGCCTACCCGTTGCACTCCCTTGCGTCTCGGATAGGTCTATATAGATCGAGCAGAACACACCAAAAAACCACCATCACAATCAGACTGATTCTGCAATTCGACCAGCAAAACATCAAAAGATTTGTTCGCTCTATTTTCATTGTCATCCATCCAGTCATCGCCTCATCATGTCGTCTTTAGATTCAACCGAGTCGACCCTGGCCGAAGTGAAACAGCTCACCATCCTCGGGCGAGAGGACAGCCTATTGCAGACTGACGCTGAAGATAGCGACGCTCGACTCGCCCTAGGAATGGAATGTCTTCTAGGAAAAGAAGAGTCTGTGCGTGATCTTTTGGCCAAACGGCGGAGAGTCAGAACCATGGACGGCAGCACTGGCTGGGCGGAGCAACTAAGCATCGCTTTAGACTACAAGAATGCCCTCAGCAGCATTGTTCCCTTCAAAGAGTACCAGAAGAGAATCTCAAAAACGATCGGTGGACGCACGCCTTTATCCTGTGCTGCGGAAGGTGGTAACCCCAAGATAGTTCGCATGTTGTTGGAGGACGGCGAGGATGTGAACGAGAGGGATGCGGATAGGTCCAATGGTGTCCCGCTACATTATGCCGTCTACGACGAGAGCCTGGAGGCCTTCGAGCTTTTGTTACAGCAGAAGGTCGATATCGAGGCCACGAATATCGACGGACACACGACCCTGGCTGTGGCAGCCCGATACTACCAATCGGCGGCAGTCGATGTGCTGCTCGACAAATGCAAGCCCAACGTCAATCCTAAAGATGTTCACGGATACACGCCGCTACTTCTACTCTTAATGCCACGCCCGACAATTCGTGGGAAGCTGATGCGCGGCGAAAAATCATGAGGCGTCTGATCCAAGAAGGAGCAGATATGGAGGCCCGACAAGGATCAAATGGACGGACTGCCTTGCATATCGCTGCGGCTCGCGGTAGTATTGAGGATATGGTATTGTTGCTGGAGAACGGGGCTGACGTCAATATCAGTAGTGCCGAAGGCTTGACAGCACTAGATTTTGCTGCAATACAAGGCAACCTGGAGATGGTGACTCTACTTCTTGACTACAACGCCAAAGTTGATACGCTGGGAATTCGCAAGATGACGCCTTTGGATCAGGTGATAATGGCAAATGATAACAACAAGGATCGCCCGCGTATCATTGAACTTCTCCTGCAACGCAAGCCCGACTTACTCCTGCAAAAATCTGCGTCTTACCTTCTCATGGAAGAGGTCACTACCATGGGAATGGCTGTCTGTCTGGGGACTCCGGAAATGGTGCGGGTATTGCTTCGCTATCCAGGCAGCGATGCCAAGCAAAGCGTCCTCCGTATGCCTCTCTTGTGCTGGGCTGCAGTTCAGAGCAAAGCGGACATGGTCGAGACGCTGATACAGCAGGGCGTATCACTCCAGGAGGTTGACGGCCGCTACGGGCGAAACGCACTTTCCTGGGCAGTGATCAAGGGCAGACAAGATCAAGGGCAGACAAGACATAGCTACGCGATTGCTGCAGACCCCCGGCGTTGGATGGGATGACGTTGATCAACAAGGCCGGTCGGCGCTTTTCCACGCGGCAGTCACCGGCAATGAAGAGATATTTGAAGAACTTCGATCCCGTGGCAGCGCTGTGCATCGCCCTGACCAATTTGGGTTCACTCCTCTACTTGTCGCGGTTCAGCACGGCCGGGAGAGTCTAGTTCGGAGGATCCTCGGGGACCATCCGCTGACACAGGAGCCTCGTGATGGCTCTGGTCGCAGTCTGTCGTGGTGGATACGATCGACGGGAAATGATGCTTTGCGAGAAACCATCGTCGGTTACGGTATGCAGCTGGGAGGGCAGGTTTTGATAGAAGAAAGTCATTCATATCTTCGTTATGAACCGAGCCGGTCGATTCAGGACTGTGACATTTGTACCCTTCCTCTGAACCGGGATAATCGAGGTATTGAATGTGGCTCGGGATGCAGGAAATATCGCATTTGCCACATCTGCTGTCAGTTTGGTGCGAGCTGCAAGGATTTTGCCGAGTGAGAGGGGGAGGGGGGGGG